AATCAGATCCCGTGGGCTACATATGCCCATGGGCAGTTTATAAGCTATAAGTTAGCGCACGAACATCCAGCTTATAAACTATGTCGATCATTTGGCTGGGGTGCGGAATCATCTAGTAACTTTAATAGTCACGAGGCGTAGTTTTATATCTAGTATAGGTGTATAAATTTGTTATTTTTAGAAGTGATCACACGTGGACATCGTGAATAAATGATCGTCAAATAATAAACGAAAGTATAAGATCTTTCCAAATAGAAGATGATGATAATATTACAAATAAGGAAAACCTAAATTAGGAATAGAGAATCTTGATAGAATAATTTCTTTAGAGATGAGATGAAAATCCGAAAATGGAAAATCTAAATTAGGAGAAAACTCAAGTAATATATTTAGAAGATGTATATATTCATTTCATGATTTATTATAAATAGGAGACAAATTCGATGTAGAAGATTTAGAATTCTTTTGAATTCTCATATATAAATTTAAATAAAAGAACATTTTGTTAACGTCTCAACGTGGTAAGGACCGTCTCTGATCCCGTAGTGGATGGTCCTTATAACGTCAAATTATTTATATTCGAGTGGTTGGAGACTTGGAGCTCTTTTTTGAACAATTTTAATTATAGTATAGATTTTTATAATGATGATGAACAATTTTTAGATTTCTTTTCTTTCTTCTCTTCATTTTATAGATTATCAGATTTTTATTTTATTTCTTTTCCTTCTTATATGAAACTGATTATGCCTAGGTTATTTTTTAATATAAGGCAGGACGATTCTTTCGAGGGTTGGGTGGTTACCTAGATAGGTGTAGTTCGAGCCTCTTGTAGCTCCGCTCCATACTTGTAATACCTCTGCTTCTGTCTAAATGTTTAAAATAAAGTAAAATAAAATATTGTGTACGTTGTACAACAAAAGACGAATACAGTTTGTGGAACATTACTACAAATCAGCCAAATGTTTAACCTAATCTGTAACAAGTTAAAACATTTGTTTATTTCAAGTGTGATAATATTACGTCATTATAAACACAACTCATCTATTTATATACACCGGTCTAACTCAAATAGACTAAAACCAATTATTATATGTACATCATTTCACACGATTAGAACGGCATATAAAAGAGGTTTCATTTAAAACAATTTTTGTTAACTTGTTCTAAAATGAATGTTCAAAACGAAGTTGTCCTCTTGCTAGGAAAAACCGGCAAGGCATTTATTTCTTATCGTTCGTTACTGTAAATATTAACTAAAGGCAAAATTATTTACTGTAGGTGCCGGGAAAAGTACACTTGGTAACCAGCTTCTTGGGAATCGTGATAATAAGCCTTTTACAGCTTCAAGCAGTTTTGTAATATCTATGTTTCATATTTTTGATTCATTTTATTTTATTGTATTCATGAAGAAAGTAATGAAAATATAGAAATCGAAAACGAGTAAATGTGAAGTAGCAACATTGAAAATTAACAACAAAAATTATGACCTTGTTGACACACCCGGATTATTTGACAGTCGTGGAAATGTAGATCCACTTAAAGAAATAACCGAATTCGTTAATCAATGCGACGGTGGGTCAGGGCAATTCTTTTGGTTTTAGGTATGTAAATAACTGTTGTTTATTTGATTGTACATTTTATTTGTATTTGACTTTAATGGTCTTTGTAGAAGCGGGAAGGATTACTGATGAGGAAAAGAATGTTTTGAATACCATAAGAAATTTTCTTGGAAAAGATGCGACAAATAATTTCATCGTTGTATTTTCCAAAGCAGACCCAGAACGAGTTATGGATAAACAAATAGATTGGAATGAAATTGAAATTCTTCGTTCTTTTATTACACAAATTGGGTACCGTTGGCATGTTTCTCCAATGCGTCGATATTATAATGAAGATGAAAGAAAAGCCAACGAAAAACGATTAATGGAAATCAAGGAATGTATTAGCCATATACAAGTTCTATATACCACTACACGATTTGAAGAGAACCAGAAAGAAAAGAAACGTCTAAAAGAAGAAGCGGAAAAAGCAGAAAGAAGAAAAAAGGAAGATGATGAGAATAAAATAAGAGAAGATGCAATAAGAGTCTACAAAGCGGAGCAACAAGCGGAACAAGATAAACCTCTAGCGAGGCAAGAAGAACTTCTAACGAAACAAGAAGAACTTCTAACGAAGCATGAAGAACTTCTAGCGAAGCATCAAGAACTTCTAGAAGAACTAGAGTATGAGCGAAAGAGAAATCTTTATAAAGATTCAAAACTTCTAGAAGAACTAGAGTATGAGCGAAAGAGAAATCTTTACCATACTAATAAAGATTTAAATTCAAGAGGATTTAGAAAACTTAGTATTGAAGAAAAAGCTATTTTTGGAGCAAAAGCCGGACGCGCTCTTGAACCAGACAATAAAGTATTAGCTTCAATAACAGGTATAACAGGTGCCTTATTTGGTCTTTCAAAAGGCATTTCGGATGAATTAGATGACATGATGGTGCAATTATGAAGTTATTATTATCTAAAAATCTATAATTATCATATGACTCCCCTAAATATTCCGGATTTTATATACCGTACTCAATAAAATGAAAATAAATGAAATAAACTGCTTTCTTGTATTCTTCAACTGAGTTTCATATTTAATTACACTTTCAGCGATGATTTAGATTTATCTAGATGTACTACAGTGCATTAATAGATGATTCTCATTCTAAAAGATGTTACAATCGCTCGTCCAAGGAATCACAATATCACATAAATAACTTTTTGGTATTATTATCAAGTACTTGGTGAAATATTTTCATTCCAGATATTGGTCTCCATTTCGGAAACATAAAAAAGAAGCCAATATACGTATTCCGTTATTTATATTGCCAGTTTTTATTATAAAGTTAATATGACGTTCAAACCATACAGTGCATACGTATAAAATCATACCGTACATGATTGCTATACTGTATACTCATTGATCCTTATATAAGTATACATAGTAATAGTAAGTAATAAATTAAAGTAGTATTTAAAATCAGAAATAAATGATTGAATGTTTTAAAATATTATAAATAAAATAAAATAAAATAATTTGTATTAAGAAATTTGCAATAAAGTTTATAATAAGTAAAGGATCGTAATATTTGTAAATTTACAATATCATTATATTGTATGATAAAAACGCATAGTTTAGACCATAAATAAAAGGTATCTAATCTAAAAGTTTATAGGGGAGTAAGGATAAAGAGGGGCTTGAATCTATACAAGGTATTTTAAACAAAACAGTCATGTACGCTATTTTATGAGGAAAGTAATTAAAATTTACATAATGATTTGTAATATTACATAAGGACTGAGTAATATATAAATAAGTAACATTAGTATCGCACAACCCTATAGGATAAATTTATGAGTTACTGGTTCTTTTATATGAATTCGACCTTAACGGATAAATTAAAAATATCATCAGGCAATAATATAATTATGGACATTTATTCCATATTGCATTATTGCAATATAATTTTAATAATTTTAAATTAGAAAACAGATTATTGATTTATTACTCTACATTTCAGACTAAAAAATTTTTATTTTGATTAATGAATCGAGTAAATAAAATAAATGAATAAATACATACAAGTTAATCAATAAGGCTAATATAATTTAAAATTTTATCTAACATTATTTCTATTCTCCATTTTATTGTTATATTTTATAGCTTTATCAAACTAATCAAAAGTTGCAATTCACTAATTGTTGAAAAGCAAAAAAAGAAAAATAACCGCTTTTAAACTATAATAAAATTTAAATTTTTTACCTTTCTACTGAATATTAATGATAATTAAAATTTTAAACTATAATGGCGAAAAAAAAAAAAATATTCAAAAAATATAAAATATAAAATTTAACAATAACCAATATAACAAATGGCTATAATTAGTCTAAATTTTTTCTTTGCCTTTAGATTTGCTATCCTGATCTAACAAATAAAATAAGTACATTATACTTATAGTAGCCTTATTTTCTATTTATATTTAAAAATAGTTACCATCATTACTAATGTTCAGTTGAGAAATATCAATTTGTAGAGATTCTATTTAATAAATAAAAAATTAATACCATTTTTAGATGATAATTTGAATATTTTATTATTAATGGATACCTGAAGAATTCATACTAATCAAATCATCAATTTTTTTGTAAGAAACATAGGAATTATTTGGTTCAGGAAAATTATTATTATCAATTTGTAAAGATTCTATTTAATGAATTAAAAATTTATTAAAATATTTATGATTGATTTAATTATTTTTTTTTAAAAAATATACCTGAAGATTTCATTTTAATATTATCATTAGAATTTTCTTCATTAAAATTATTATTTTCCAATTGAGAAATATCAATTTGTAAGGATTCTATTTAATGAATTAAAACAATATTAGTATTTTTTACAATTAATTAATTAATTTGAATTTTTTTTTGTTAACCAATACCTAAAGATTCCATGCTAATTATATTATCCTCGACTTTGTAATAATCATTAGAATTTACTGGCTCAGGAAGACTACAAAAATTAAGCAATCTACTGGTATAAATAGCTTCCGAATGGGTTTCATATGATATTCCTAAATTGATTGATAATGCACTGCTAGTTTGTAACATATTATTAATTATTTTTGCTTCATTAATTTGTTTTCTTATTTCTGAATGAGAATCAATATAATATTCACTATTATCTTGTGATTCAAATGATTCTCTAAACCATTGACTTAAAGTTTTTTTAATTTCTATTGCATTTGGTCGCTTTAATGGATTTGCATCCAAGCATCTTTTAATTAAATGCACAATCAATTGGGGTACTTTAGTATTAAACCTTGGTCGAAGTCCCTTACAAATTCTTATTGCTAAATTATTATTGTGACTGATATTATAATAAGGAGGTAATCCAGAAATAACTTCATACATTATTATACCAAAACTATAAATATCTGCAGCTTTAGTATAATTTTGGCCACGTAAAATTTCGGGAGCAATATAAGGTAAAATACCATATATTTTGTTTTTTGCATTATCCGATGCATTATAATCTGCAGGTTTACATAATCCCATATCAGTTATACAAGTGAGATTTTTAAGCCTTAATATATTACCAATATGCAAATCTCGATGAATTAGTTCTTTTTCATGAATATCTTTAAGACCATGTGCAATGCTATGTAAATAATTAATCTTATCGCTCCAACTTAATTCGTTATAACTTATGTCTAAATAATTTCGCAAACTTCCATTTTCTGCATAATCTAAAACCATAACATAATTTTCTGTCTTTGGTTCTTGAGTTATTCCATAGAATTTAATAAAGCGTTTATGCAAATTTACTTTATGATGTAATGTAATCTATGGATATTATAAATAAGTATTAATACCTAAATAAATAATTATAAAAATAAAAATAACTTACCTCATTCATAAATTCTAATGTAATATTTCTTGAATTATTTAAACTTTTCAGAGCTACAACCATGTTTTGATCATTCCTTTTCCAATTATAGTTATTCCATTTATCTATATGACCATCAATCCATCTTGCCCTATATACTTTTCCAAACCCACCTTTTGCAATATATTTAATATCATAAAGTCTATCATAAGGTATCCATTCTAATATATGCAATATTTCACAATCATTCTCATGAACTGATAGCTGAGTATTTTGAATAAATTTATTGATATCATTATTACCACTGGCCCAATTTTTAAAATTTTGTTGAAAATGTATTGAATTGCATGTAACATCACATTTTCCACATTTATTGAAATCTAAAACCACCATATAGTTTCTGGTTTCTGGATCTTGAGTTATCCCACGAACTTTATAAGATACTGCAATCTACAATATAGTATTAAAGTAGAAATATCAGTAAAAGTAAAATTTTATCAATTTGTTTTTAAATCAACTGGCAATTTTTCTTTTCACAAAATGGCATAGTACAATGTGATTAATTTATATTATAATTTACAAACATTGATAAATTTATTATACCTTATTTATAAAATCTAATGTAACACTTGATGGATTATTTAAAATTTTCAGAATTACAAACATATTTTGATCTTTTCTTTCCCAATTTTGATTTTCAACATTCCATTCATTTAGATATCCATCAATCCAATTTGCTCTGTACACTTTGCCAAACTCATGTTCTTCTGCAATATATTTAACATCATAAAGTCTATAATAAGGTATCCATTCTAATGCATTTTTTACCTTATAATAGTTATGATCTGATAGCTGAGTATCTCGAATAAACTTATCAACATCATAATTACCACTAGTCCAATTTCTAAAATTTTGTTGAAAATGTATTGAATTACACACTTTATTACATTTTTCACATATATCATTCAAAACTATCATATAGTTCTTGGTTTCTGGATCTTGAGTTATTCCATAAACTTCATGAGGCACTGCAATCTACAATATATTAAAGTTAGAAATATTAGTAAAAATGAATTTTTTAACTACAAAATGGCGCAGTACAATATTGATTTACAAAATGAAAATTTATTATACCTTATTTATAAATTCTAATGTAATGCTTGATGGATTATTTAAAATTTTCAGAATTACTATCATTTTTTGATTTTTTCTATCCCAATCTTGATTTTTATCATTCCAACTACTGTCAAAATACCAATTATCTTTATATGTAATATTTCCATCAATCCAATTTGCTCTGTGCACTTTGCCAAACTCATCATCTTCTGATTTAATATTATAAAGTCTATTATAAGGTATCCATTCTAATACATTTTTTACCTTATAATAAGTATGTGCTGATAGCTGAGTATCTTGTATAATTTTATCAATATCATTATTACCACTAGTCCAATCTTTAAAATTTTGTTGAAAATGCATTGAGTTACATACTTTATCACATTTTTCGCATATATAATTCAAAACTACCATATAGTTCTTGGTTTCTGGATCCTGAGTTATTCCATAAACTTTATGAGTTACCACAATCTACAATATATTAAAGTTAGAAGTATTAGTAAAAATGAAATATTCAACCATCTGTTTCATTAAACCAACTTTTTTTTCACAAAATGGCATAGTACAATGTGATTAATTTATATTATAAACTTTTAATAATTTTATTATACCTTATCTATATATTTTGATGAAATACTTGCTGGGTTATTTAAAATTTTCAGAATTACAAACATATTTTGACCTTTTCTTTTCCAATTTTGATTTTCATCATTCCATTCATTTAGGCGTCCATCAATCCAATTTGCTCTGTACATTTTGCCAAACTCATCATCTTTTGCAATATATTTAACATCATAAAGTCTTTCATAAGGTATCCATTCTAACGCATTTTTTACCTCATAATAAGTATGTACTGATAGCTGAGTATCTTGAATGAATTTATCAATATCATTATTACCACTAGTCCAATTTTTAAAATTTCGTTGAAAATGCACTGAATTACACACATTATTACATTT